CGCCAGTTGGCAGTCGACTTGGGGTGAGCAGTGTCGTAACAAGCTTTTCCAAATCAAACTTTCTGTTGCACTTTGGCTGTCTTGTTTCCCTAAGGATCGGAAGAAGGAAGTTGTCCTGGCTAGGCTATTCATTGGTCACAGTTTTTTAACTCATGTTTTCTTTTATCTGGTACTGACCCACCAATGTGTATCCTTTCTGATACTCAAGTCACAATAGCCTACATTTTACTGTTGTGCTGTTGCTATGACCATGAATGACGGCACCATTTTTGATGTATACTTTTCTACGGGTTTACCCCTGACGTTAGACAGTATCATTGTTGATGGTGACACTGTACAACTTGACTGTGTTTTTAGCTTTTTGCAGGTTTTAGACCTTTTTTAATTCTATTTAAATGTTTTATCTCAGTTTTCAACATTGTTTAGTTTTAACTCATCAATTTATTTTTACATTTCTTAACAAATTTACTTTTACATTTTTTACTGGTTGTATGGCACAGATAACCTAATTGTTTTGCACTAAAAAACGCCAAACAATCAACCAACCAGATTTATCCAACTCTATTACACTTCTTTTATCCTGTTTGTATCACCCATCTACTCTCTGCCTGTTAACGAAAGTGGTGTGTTTGACTCTGGTCCATCTACCACTCCCACCAGGCAGTCCTACTGTTGTTCACCTTTCAGTCTTCTTTATCTCTTTGTTTAACTGAAGTTAGTCAGTTTCTACTGTAGCATGCTATCAGGCAACCTTGTTGATTACCTTTCAACATCTTTGCTATGGTTACGTCTTTCCCCTCCAACACAGTCTTTCCATCTTGTTCTGGTCCTTTGTCCGATTCTTTTGCCCGTCAAAAACTTCAATGTGGTCCTATGTACCCTTAACTATTTGAACTATTTTCTTCTTGTGGTTGCCACAGATCTGGTCTTTATACATTGGTAGCTTTCTGTACTTTGTTTCTCAAATCATCCTCGTTCTTCTTTTCTGACTGCTTGTTTCTTCTTAAGTCTTTGACAGCTTTGGAGGTCCTTCTCATCAATTACTCTTCCATCAACCTTAGCCCTCTATGATCATACTGATTCTGATCATTTTTTGTGACCAATTTGAGAGGTCAGGTGTTACATGACACACATAGTACCATTCTGATATTCCCACAATTATTTATTCTTCCCATGGGATCCCTCTTCTTGCAGGGATCTCTCATCCTCTATTCTTACTGAATGGATTGGGTTCTTCAACTCATCTGGATCGTATATTCTTCTCTGGATGGAGATGTTTACAGGCTGTATCATCTTTCATCACATCAAATCTACCCCTTGACTCCCTCTCTGGCTTCACACTTTTGAAAGCCTTCAGGCTGAAATGTAGACTATGCCCAACACCTTTGTCTCTCATTACCTCCACTATCTGGCACTTTCATCTCCCCCAGGATATCACCTACCTTTTGTTGTCATTTTCCAGTCTACTTATCATCTTTGATGGGTAAGTGGTTCTTTTACTTCCTCACCCATTTCTATATCTATATGATTCGCTTCTTGGAACCTACCCAATGGAAGGTGTTGCCTCCCAGAATAGTAGAAAGTATTAGATCATACTGCCCTTGCCCCAGATTTGCCCACTGTTGAGATGGGGTTTTGTGCAAAACTAGACCATGCCTTCCATGGTCAAGCATGGAAAATTACAGAAACAGGGGAGTAAGGGGTTGGTCAGTTTGTCATGGTTGAAAAATACAAAATCAAGTGGGTAGTATTGTTCTTTCCTTTTTGTATTAACCACAAATTTCCAAAGTACTTCTCTTGAGAGTTTCTACATTTAACCTTTTTCGCATATATTTCCTTTGTTTATTTTACTGTTGGTGGCTGAAGTAGAAACCTGCCAATCATAAAGCAATGAATCCTGCTATTAGACTGTTTGTATAACACCATAATATGACACCATCTATAGCAAATGAGCTCATGCGGTGCAATTACCAGAGCTTTCTCATACAGTTTATCGTAATCCTAGGTTCTGAGAATACAGTGGGAGAGGATTTATCAGCTTGTTTATAGTACGGTGGTTGTAACAAGAATTGTCTAAAGTAACAAAAGTGCAAGAAAATGTTTATGATATGGCTCTGTACAAATTCTTGGTCAATCCAATAAACTTGGTAGGTACTTGGATGTTAGTTATCCTCCCAGGGTAGTAGTAATTTAGTGCTGTAAGTGTACAAAGTTTGTAAATGCTTATGAATATGTGTGTGTATATATTATGACTGTTTACTCATAAACACTTTATTTTTAGTTATTTTTCTTAAAACATAGAACAATAAAACATATATAGAAAAACAATGACTTCTAGTAGTTACAATGGTATAAACTTGATTTGTACTCATACATTGTACTTGCTAAGCCTTGCCATAAGAGCCTCATTTATTCTCTAAAGTGGAGGGGAAAGACAAACAAAATTTTGTAGATTTCAAAGGTTCATTTTAGAAAACCAAAAAAATGATCAAGTTACTATAATGGTACACATAAAATCAATGTAATTTATCTGGCTTTCTAACTAAGCTATATGTGGGTTAAAAAAATATCATTGCTGTTCAGGACAAAGAGTTAGTCAACAGAGTTCACCATTTCTAGTGAAATTACAAACTAATTACAAATGACTACCATAGTTATTTAGTTTGAAATGTGCTCTTTCTATTAGTTATGTTCTCAACATAAGTAGACATGAGTATACAAAAGGCTTTGTAAGAATGGATTAGTGGGTGGGGCTACCGTAGTAGGTTTGCAAGATATCTCAGCAAATCAAAAAGGTGGGAGATTCTTATATTCTATCTTATAACTATCTCAAATTTTAACTTGTAATTCGTTAGCCACTATATATATGTTGTATGGTAGGCATAATAAAATATGAACTCAAAGTATGGATTTCTAATGAAAGTTAACATAAATTGAAACATTCATAAATCATATGCTTGTAAACTGTTTAACATAAATACTCCATCTAGAAAACTTTGACATTTCTCTCTCTCTCTCTCTCTCTATATATATATATAGTATATTCAGTATTGTACATTGAATATCATGTGTACTGATCTTTGTAAGTTGTTTTAGAAAAATTAATTTTATATCCAGCAATAGAAAAAATATTCAAAAAATGTAAACATGATGTATGCTAATAGTTGAAGCTAGTCTTTTTTTTAAATAAGTTATTATTGAGGTTTTAAGGGTGATGAAGTTTATTAACATTATATAA